TGTCATTTTAAAAACATGGTGAAATGTGTCAGATTCATGCATCATGAAATGTTAACATTGCCTTTGAACTTGCATTAATGGCTGCTTACAAAATGATTGAATAATATGCATTTTGCAATTTTTAAGTTTTTAAAAAAAATAAAAAATAAAGTTTTGTGCCTCTGAGAGATCATGAATTCTTTTTTTATTATTTCCCTGTTCAGTTACTACATACACATAAGCAAAAAATGACAAATATTTATTTTAATATAGTGTAATGAAATTCTAAATAAATATTTTATTAAAATATATTTTAACATATTTACATTTAAAATATATAAAGATATACAATAATATAATTCGTTCTTTAAATCTAAAATATTTTTATATTTTTATTATAATTATCAATAAATATATAATATTAAAGTTAAGTGTTAAAATATTAGTATTAAAATACAATGAAATAGCATTTAAAATATTGTAATTATTATTTTTTTTATTATATATTATTAAATACTACTACCACTACTACTAATACTAATAATATTAATAATAATAATATATATTATATATATAATTACTAATGTTTTTTTCTCAGGCTCTCATACCGCATTAATGCCAAACGGGGGCCCTGGAGAGCCGCTCAGGTAGGATTGGTCACTATCTGGGGGCGTTACAAGGGTAGTTAACAAAAATCTTACCGCATGAATTATTTAGTGTTGCGCTTTTTCGTTTTACAACCAGACGAAAATCGCTAAAAACACAGTTTAAATACATATAAAATCCTGACTGTAAGTTTAAATAACGTCAGTTTACCCCGTGCGCAGTCCACCTACCTTGATTCTTGTTATTCCACATAAAATCAATGTGATTGAACAATCTGATTGGACACTTCCGTCCTCTGACTACAAACGGTAGGCGTATTCCTTCCTGTGATTGGCTTACGGTGTATGTCGGTTGCGTCGTGCCCCGCCCCCTTCATTCCTGCGTGTGTGTGTCGTGTGTAGTGTGTAGTGTGTGTGGAGAGCGCAGCCGGACCCGTGTGATCAGCTGTGATCGTGGGAAACGGACAAAAATCCGTCTTTGGAGCAGAAACTCGAGAGAGAATCCACACTGAAGCGCATCGCTGAAGCGCTGGATAACCACCAAACTACTTCAAAACTACACTCACAATAAAGTACTATAGTAATAGCATGGTTTTTAGACGTGGCTCCATGGTTCAAGTTTGGCTGCTCATTAGGATTTGAGGCACAGCCTATTTTAGAGGATGGTTATTAGCACAGTATGACTACCTTACCATAATGCCATGTTTTTTGACTTGTACTGTGGTAGAGCCATGGTTTTGTTGGAGGTAAATGTATCATGTAAAAACCATGGTTTATGCATATGGTAACATTTATTACATGGGTATATAATGTGAATTTGACTATACTGAACCACCTTTTGACATTTTACCTGAATTCCCCCTATTTGTGAAACTAGACCACAGGTTTATAACAAAGGCTGCGTTTACACTGGCAGAAAAAATCCGATTTTTTGCCCACATCTGACACAGATCGGTGGTGAGCTGTATGCGCTCGCATTTTATAGAGATGGAAACTTTAAAAAAAATTGCATATTCAGGAGCTGGTTTTCAACCCCTGTCCCGTGAATTTTATTAATACCTAAAGAATTCTATCTCTAATGAGCTGTATAAAATAGCATACCAAATGAAAATTACCGTCGTTTTCCGTTATTTATCCGTTCAGTCAGATTTTGAGCTGCAAAACATCCATGACAGCCGTTGTCCATGCTGGCAAATAATAGCTCAATGGCCACTCGACGTGAATTATTAGTTATTATAATTATTAATTATAATTATTATTAGTGGCAAGTCGTGGCCTAATGGTTAGAGAGTTGGACTCATAACCCAAAGGTTGTGGGTTCGAGTCTCATACCGGCAGGGA